GGGCTACATGAGCCTCTCCTGGTGAAAATAATAAAGCTGCCCAGTGTTAGCAGGAGCTGGATGGGACATCAAGGCAGCACAACCTGCAGCACACCGTGCACTCATTCTCATGCCACACCATGTCATCCTCCTCCAGCAGAGCAGAGATTTCCATCTCCCAGAATTTTCTCCTATCTTTTTGAGGAGTTTAACCTCTCCCCAGTCCTCAGAAGTGCTGATCAGACACTGATCCTCACCAACCCAGTTCTGCCACAATTAAATCAATCCATGATAAATAAGGCACAACCCAAGAGCAGATGCAGGGTGGGTGCACCCATCCCAGGTGAGGAACACATTGCCCACACATATTGCTTTAGGCACCATCACTCACACCTGAGGCTCTTCCCTCCTCCCATTTCACAGCCCAAATCCTACAGCATCACCCAAAAATATGGGTTTGGGCTTCCCAGAGCCCTGCTCTGCAAGGGGAGCAGCATCTATCCGGATGCTTTTGTCAGGGAAAGTGCATTAGTTTCCATGGATATGGTGATTCAGAATTACTCCAGATGTAGATGAGTTCAGAGTGCACTGCTCAGAGACCTGCAGCATTGCTGCACCGGGTGGGAAGTACAGCTCCCATGGAGCAAAAAGCAACAGGAACAGATAGGAACAGACAGATCCCCAAGTTTTGGAAGTGTCACCATCTGGGGATCCAACAAACACAACCAACTCTTCCCTCAGCTGCAAGCAAAGCTGGTTTGCGCAGTGCATTACTCTGGGTTAGGTTCTTATTGCTTGACTTTATTTCCCAAGGCATAAAGGGAGGGACACAGAGGCCATAGTAGGGGATAGCAGCACAGCACAACTACTTGCAGCACATCCTAGATCAGCAGCAAACAGCAACAATTCCCCACAGCTCCCATTCCCACCAGAGCCCTGCCACGCTACAGCCCCCCATCTCCTCCCTCAGGAGCCCAAATGCCCCCCCTCCAAAGATTACTTGATCATCTTTCCCCCCTTACCTCCTTCCAGCATGTTCTCCATTCTCTGCACTGAACCAGGAGGGTAAAACTCAGCCCTGCAGGCAATTTAACTAATGAGGGCTGATTGCAATTGCTCACACCTGGGGCATGGGGCTGACCTGAAGGCTTTGGGGGCTCAGGAGCAGCATGGCCTGAAGAGTGCTGTGCTTTTTGTGTGGTGGCTCTGCTCCCATCCTAGTGCTGAGTTCCTGTGCCCCACATCACCTCTCTCTCTCCCCACGCTGTGCTGCTGAGCACTGCAGCCATGCCCAGAGCTGTTTCCCTCACCTCCCTGCCTGCAGTGCTGATGCAGAGCCCTGACTGAGTCCAAACCCAAAGCACCCAAATATCTGCTCCACCTGCTGCCTACAAATGCCACCTTTACTCCAGCCTCAAAGCTTTGCCTTTTGTGATGGGCAGCCCGTTGTGCAGTAACAACACTGGGCATGAACAGTCCCTGCTCTGCAGGTTGCAGCTCTGTGCCCTGCAGGGTGCTGTGGGTACCATCTGCTCCCCATAGTCCAGGCATGGAGCCCAGTGTGGAGATGTGCCCGCTGTGCTGCTCTATGAGGAGGGCAGGGCAGGATGGAGCCAGGAGGCAAAGCACATCCCAGCACCCCTCTGCAGCACAGAGCAGGTGGAAACAGGGAGTCCTGGAAGTGCAGGAATGATTCAGGGCTCTGCATGGGGTGATGGATGAGCCCAGGGAGAGCTGAACCCCCCTGGGTGTGTTGGCCATTGGATCACAATGGTTTCAATGCTCAGTGTTGGTTTTGGGTGGTGTCAGGGTTTTGGTTGCCCTGCTGCTGCTGTAGATCCTGGGGCCACCAGTGGATTCTCAACTCAGAGAAGCTCAGGAAGGGCAGAATTGAGAGTCTGCATCTCTCCTCAGCACAGACAGCTCTGCAAAAGGACAGACACATTACTATAAAATCTCTTTCAACTCACTGAGACATTCTGTACTGAAAGTGGACAAAACGTACCTGACATTGAGCAGATTTGCAAGAAAAATCCAGCAAAGATCAGAAGTGTGTGTGTTCCAGCCTCAGAAATGCTCCTTAATGAAAGGAACACACAGCACAGGGCACACTGTGTCATCCACCCTCAGCAGCTCTCCTTCAGTGGAGGATGTTGCAGCAGAAGCCCAATTGCTTGTCTCATAACTAACCCCGGAGGACTGAATCACAGTCATTGATCTATGCTAGGTTGTGCTGGCTATGACAGCTCTCCCTGCAGCCCAAGTCCCACCATGAGCTGGGAGATGGCAGGGCCAGCATGGTGCCATTGGCTTTCCCCTGCCCTGTGCCACAGCTGCCTGGATTTGGAGCCCACCACCCATTCCTCCCACTGCACTTCAGCCCTCCTGGGGCCACCACCTCCCAGTCGTGCTGTCCTGGGATGAGGCAGCACCTTCTGTCCCCAAGGCTGAAAAGGATCCCAAACCTTTCCATAGCTCTTTTCCAAGAGCTCTGTCTTGGTGACAGTGGATCTCTCTCAGCTCCCAGGGGCTCCTGCACAGCACTAATGCAACCCATGTGCATGTCTCCAAGTGTGCCCATGCTGCTGGAGGTATTAATGACAGCATCCATTAGCGGGGATGACAGATCCCCTTTCAGTACAACAGAAGGCTCTCGAGTGACTGTCAAAATACCCCATGAAGAGGGGAAAGAACAGCTCCCTGAGGGCTCTCTCCTAATGAAGGGCACGACCAACAGATCAGATGCACAGTGCATGGCTGTGCCTGGGAGAAGTTAGGAGTCAGGTGCAGAAAACACAGCTCAGGGCACTGCCTGGGGATGATCCGTGGTGCACAGCACTGGGGGAGCAGCACAGCCCCAGGTGTGCTCTCAGCATCACTGGATCACATCCCTTAAGCAATACAATGAGGAGCGTGCCAAGCAGCATGGGAGAGGGCGATGTGGTCCAGTCCCTAAAGTGAACAAATCCAACCTCAGCACAAGTAGGAACTATTCTGTTATTCTCTTGCATGTGGGCCATGCCTGGAGGTTCCCCTGGATACCACTTTCCCCGTTTCTGCAGAGCATTCCAAGTGCAGACCGTGCTGAGGTTGGGTGCCAGAGAGCAAATGGAGCAGCACTTCCTGTCACCTCTTTAGGAGCCCTGTCCTGGTCTCCCAGCACAGCCATGGGGAGGGACACAGGAGACACAGGAGCAGTGGGTACTAGGAAGCAAGGAAAGAAAATGATGTGTGCATCCAAAATGAGAGCAGAGTGGGGTCTGGAATGAAAGAGGCGAGCTGCAGAGCCAGCTGCAGAGCTGGGGATCAAAGCTGTGGTTTACATAATAAATAATGAATTGATAACTAATTGAATAATTCAAACCAGCTTAATTTTTGCAAGTAACAGCTTTGCTGAGCCGTGGGGAAGGAACGGAAGGGGCTGGGCAGCAGGGCATCCTGCACTCCCTCCCTGTGATCTCTGAGCTGCTTTGGGGTGATGCACCCACAGATGCAGGATGTGCTCTCTGCTCCTACTCCAACACAGAACTGCGTTGAAAAACAGACTGAGCAAAAAGCTGCTCCTTGTCCTAAAGTGCTTACGCTGGAAGCATGAGACACATGAGGGAGAAGCAGGCAGCGGGTGAACAATGTGGCAGTGTTTGCTGGAAGGCCATGGGTTCAGGACACTGTTTGGGGCATGATGCTGATTGACATCGAGTGACTTCACCGGCCTGACTCACCCCAGAGCTGCTGGATGGAACACACGGCATGAGGCAGCCCCAGGGAAAGGACCTCATGCCCGTCTCTGTTCTGTCCTCATGCTGTCCCTCTCTGTCACCCTGTGACCATCACTGCTTTAGGACAGGTCCTCCTCCCCCAGCTCTGCCATATTATTTGCACCTCTGCCATAGGAGCATTTGACCTGGACTCTTGCTCTCAGAGCTGCGTGGGGAGGTTGGCATCCAGTCCCTGAGCCCACCAAGGTGAAAATGAGGACCTGGGATGTGGTTTCTTTCCTCTGTAGTAGGAAAACGTTCTATTTTGGGTGAGGATGCAGAGGGCAGGTGGCTTTCCCAGTCCCAGATTCCCTGGAGACAAGACTTGAAGCACACACAGGACGATCCCTTTTTGCTCAGGTGCACGATAACGGCAGCACTTAATGAGCAGGCGCTGTGCCTTCCAAGCTGCAATGCACCGGGGGCTGCGGTGCATGGGATGGAGTTGGTGTTCAGTGGGGCAGCCAGATGGGCAGGGAGTGAGGGACCAGCTGGGGCTGGGTGGGCTGCAGAGCTTGGCAGAGCCTTCAGTGTGTGGGATGTGTTGTTTCCCAAGTTGTTGTTAACAAAGAGGGGGAAGGAAAACAAAATTGGGTGTCCTCCTTGGATGTCTCCAGAGCAAAGGGGTTGGAGCTGAGCAGTAGGATGCCCACACACAGCCACTGCCTGTTAGGAGAGAGATGTTTTTGGAGGAGGGAAGAAGAAGAGTTGGTGGTATGGGGAGGAGAAGGAGATAGAAAATGAGGAGAAGAGTAAAGGAAAAAGGGGAAAAAAAAAAGTGAAAAGGGGAAAGGAAAAGGAAAAGAAGGAAAAGGAGAATGGAAAAGGAAAACAGAAAAAAAAAGGGAAAGGGAAAGGGAAAGGGAAAGGGAAAGGGAAAGGGAAAGGAAAGGGGAAAAGAAAAAAAAAGAAAAGAAGGGAAGGGAAGGGAAGGGAAGGGAAGGGAAGGGAAGGGAAGGGAAGGGAAGGGAAAAGGGAAGGGAGGGGAAAAGGGAAGGGAGGGGAAAAGGGAAAGGAAAAAGAGAGAAGAAAAAAGGGAAAGGAGGAAAGGAGAATGAGAAAAAGGAAAAGGGGAAAAGAGAAGAGCTCCTTCAGACCTCTGCGTATTTCTCACTGGCTGTTCCTACAGACACCTCCTGGTGCCCATAGGGACATGAGCTGCCCTGGGGCCTCGTGGAGCAGCAGGTAAGTGCAGTGCTTCTCTTGCAGGGCTGCTGTCCCCACTCAGACATAGAGCCACGGCCATAACATCTGGAGCACAGGATGGGAGGCACCGCTGGATTCATCTGCATCTCCCTGGCCGTCATCATCTGTGTGGGTAAGAGCCTGAAGCTGTTCTTGGGATGGATGCCTTTCTGCTATACCCCAGCTGCAAAGATTCCCCCATTTGCCATCCACTGGGGATTGCTGCTGGATCTCAGGGAGTGTCAGGCTACACACTGAGGGTTCCTTTTCAGCAGGGAGATGTTTCATATCAGGCAGCTGAGAATTAGACGATGTCTTCAAGCTAATTCATCATCCCAAGAAGAGGCTGCCTGGCTGTCTTATAAATATCTAATTACCTTTTAGTGTTCTGTGGGTCCCAGGAGAGGAAGAGGGGAGGGGTGGCTGCCCTAGATTGGGAGGCAATTAGCCTGTTTGGAAATCATGCTGACCCAAATCTGGAAGAGGCCCCAGGATGGTGCTGGGCTCTCCCATTAACCAGCTGAGTTCGTCCAACTCATTCCCATCCAAGCTGAGCCCATAACAAATGAGTCACTACCGAACCCTATGAGGGTTATTTTCTCCTGACCTCTGGCTGCTGATGCAATGGATCTCAGAAGCCATCTGGGACAGAGAGAAGCCCTCACTGGAAACATGAGCCAGAAGCAGGGACCAAATGATGGCAGCTCCAGATAAGGCTGAAGGAAACGCTCTGGGGAGGGGTGAAGATGGACCCGATGTCTCCAGCTCTGGAGTTTGGGTTGGTAACATCATCCCTCCCTCTGACATATCACCAAGCGATGAGTTCCCAAGGACATGAGAAATAACCACTTTGATTGTGTTCCTATGAAACCAATTAATTGCTCACATGCCAGGCTCAGGCTGCAGCTCTGGAGTTGAGGATGCGCTGCCGGTGCTCAGTGACAGGATTGCTGCTGATGCACTCATCACCTGCAATACATCTTGGCAAATGTTCAGCTGAGACATCCGTGATTTCCTGCTCTCCAAAGCTGGAGTGTGGCTCAGCACAGCCCCTGGACATCAGGGCTTTCCAGCTCTGGCTACCAGCACGTTCCAGGTGCTGGCAATAAGAGCACAGAACAACTCTTTGAGTTCTATTCCTGCAATTTCTGGTATAAGGTCTGGGATGGTTTTTACACTCAAAGATTACGGCCTTGCTGCTGTATTTCATTATACGGTATTTTTCTCTCCCAGACATCAGCACAAATCACTCTCGGAGCACCGAAATGTTCAAACATTTCTGCAGCTATTTCTCCGAATCTTAATGTTCTGATATTCCATTTCCACCTTTCCCTCTTTATTTTGGTGTTAAGACTGATTTTTCTTCAAAACGAATGTTGTTCCAGCCAGACACAGCAGCACATTGAGAATAATTTCTGCTCCTAGCTGCGTTTCAGCGCACAAGTAGGGCTGCATATGGCATGCTGAGCTCTGAAGGGATCCCTCTGCCTCTTGCACACGCAGCTTGCAGGCTCAAAGATGTTATTTTGTGTTTGCCTTCTCCCTGCTGCCCGAATGACAGAGCCCTGGGAAGGTCTTGTTGTGGTAACATTAAAAAGGAGAGTACTCTGGTGACAGCAACAGCTGAGATGATCGGTCTCGGAGGTACTCAGATCTGCTGTTCTGCTTTGATCTCAGTCCTCAGCTCTAAGCACCATCAGAACTTGTAACAGTTCAATTATCGCTTTAATCTAACGGTCGTTTCGCTTAATGAGTGAGATGCAGGATTTCACCTCCAACACCAACCGGACACCTTGGAACTGTACATAAAATCTGTCTGAACTTCTGGCATTGATTGCATATGAGAAAATCAATGCCTGACAGTGGTAGCCCATAACCTTGGCAGAGAAAAAGGGACAGAGGAGGATGCTGGGCTCCAGGTGGGATGGGAGGGATGATTGGCCAAACCTCATTGGGAAAGAGCTCCCACGAGAACAGGCATGTATGGGACTGACTATAATATAACATTTGTTAAATAATCAGAAGTTATTTACCATGTGCTACCTATTAACCTCTGAATGCAAATCTGTTCATCCTTAATCCATTGGCTGCCGTCGCTCAGAACACAACGAATACACCACGTCCTTCTTAATTCTCCATTAACTCATGATTATGTTAAGTGCTGGCCAGCAAGGAGCTATTTCCAGCTGAGAGCAGCACAGCAGAAGCAGAACCAATGCAGGCGATTTCTAGCAGAGAGAATCTTCTCCTTGCTGAATGTAACTATCCCAGAAGAGAAAAAAAAAAGCACTTGCACAGATCTGGAGGCAATGCGACCTTCACAAAACTGCTTCTCTCACTCCAAAGCGTTAGGGACAGGCACGGAGCAGAGTCCCTGCTAATTGGGCAGAGCCTGGATGCGAGGACCAGACATGGGGAGCAAACAGCTGCTCCGAGCCTGCAGAGACAATTAGTGCAGCCCCTCTCTCTTTTCACCCTGGTTTCCACATGCCATGAACACGAGGGGAACCCCGTGAGCTGCAGGTGAAGAGCAGCTTTCCCTCAGCCCGGAGAGCTGATCCCTGCTGGAAGTTACTCTTGCATAAAACATCACACTTACGGGAGTCACTTCATTTAACCGGTGACCATGCTGCGTTCTGCAGGGAAGGAAGCAGATTGCAGGTTGGCATGGAGGTTTTAAGACGGTTATTAATTCAATTACAAAGCATGGAAGGATGCTGGGGGCAGCTAGGCATCTCCTTGCTTATCACTGCAGAGAAGGGGATGCTGCCTCGTGTCCCGTTCCTGCTAAGGGGCATGGCTGCAGGTGCCAGGGATGTGTGCTGGGAGTGATTACCTTGCTGGCTGCTTTTGGGTTAGAGGTTTCCAGGCAGCTTTCTGCTTTGTTCTTGCCTATTTGCATTGCAATTTCTAGTGTCTGCAAGGACCGGTTTGCACCCAGCTGCAAGCAGCAGGCATGACTCAAAGAGAGAGCTGAGGATGCTGCAGCTGCAGGGATGGAGGGAGCAGCCAGGTGTGTGCAGGAGGTCAGTGCAGAGCTGAGATCTAGCTATGAACACCCAGGCTGTGCTCTCCTTCTTTGTCCTCAATAGGACATAGGAAGAACAAAGCAGCAGCGTTGGTACGGAGGAGGCAGAAGCATATCCTCACTTCCAGGATGCTGAGAGCACCCCGACATTCCCAGCTCCCACCCCATCTGTGCTTCACAAGAGGTTGTGCCAGAGCTCCTTCGCGTGCCCATCTCTAAGCACGTCTGCTCCTGTGGCACAGCAGAGTCGGTGTGAGATGCTCAGCAGGGAATGCACACAATCTGCCCGCAGCCCTGCTTGGGGCTGGGCGACAGATGGGCTGCTATTCTCACATTGCTCCTTGTTTTATTCCAGATATAGCTCTGCCACCGCCAGGGACACCCTACAAAACCAAAAAAAAAAGGAGAATTTTTAGAAAACACCACATTTTGCTAAGCAGGTTTTCCCCTCTCTTGCAGTCTGGTGCCAAGCACAGAGTGGCACAAGGAGCTACGGGCCGGTGTTTGAGGAGCAGCCCGCACACACCCTGTTCCCTGAAGGCTCAGCAGAAGAGAAAGTGACACTGATGTGCCGAGCCAGAGCCAATCCCCCTGCAACATACAGGTGAGCCAAACACCACGAGAATGGGACGTCAGAATGTGGGTCTATGTGGCACCAGCTACGTGAGCACACAGCCTCAATACGTATTCTCCCTTCCCACTTCTTGGCAGGTGGAAGATGAACGGCACAGAGCTGAAGATGGGGCCGGATTCCCGGTATAGATTGGTTGCTGGGGACCTGGTGATAAGCAATCCAGTGAAAGCCAAGGATGCAGGCTCCTACCAGTGTGTGGCAACCAACGCCCGTGGCACAGTGGTCAGCAGGGAAGCATCACTCCGCTTTGGCTGTAAGTCTTCTCTTGGTCTGCATAAAGCAAACAAAATGCAGCCATAGTAACGCTGGGGGGTAAACCAAGCCCTCCAGACCCATAAGTAAACAGAAATTCGGGGAGAAGTTGTGGATGCGGTGCAGAAATCCCATTAGTGTAGGGTCAGATATTTCTGTATTTCTCTGCAAAGCCACTGGAAATTGTTGGTGACTGGTGGACAGTTGGACTGGACGATCTTGTAGGTCTTTTCCAACCTTGGTGATTCTATGATTCCATGAAAAACCACCCCACGGAGGGGCAGATCACCACAGCAGCTCCTCCAGCTGCTCATGGGCAAGTTTCACTGCGTGTCTTTAGTTTTGCAGGAATTCTCTGCAGAAGAACGAGAACCCGTGAAGATCGCTGAAGGCTGGGGAGTGATGTTCACCTGCAGCCCCCCTCCTCATTACCCAGGTAAGGTTTCCCATCCCCCGGCAGTAGGAGATGGAGGCAATCCTCAGCTGCACGAATCACTTCCTGATCTCTGTGGCAATGCCAGGGGAGCAAACTTGGTTTGAGTTCGCTCTGAAAAGCACCAAAGCAGAGGCATAATTTTGCATGCGGAGAAAATAAGCGCCATCCGAGGAACAATTTAAGCTTTGACAGGTCCAGAAAATGACCCGCTTGCTTAAATCCCAGCTGAGGCCGCCAGCAATCTGCGCAGTTCATTCCTTCTCCTGCTCCCCACAGGCTTGTCCTACCGATGGCTTCTGAATGAGTTTCCCAACTTCATCCCAGCCGACGGAAGGCGTTTCGTCTCTCAGACCACAGGAAACCTCTACATTGCCAAGACAGAGGCTTCTGACCTCGGCAACTACTCGTGCTTTGCCACCAGTCACATCGACTTCATCACCAAGAGCGTTTTCAGCAAGTTCTCCCAGCTCAGCCTGGCTGCCGAGGGTCGGTGCTCTCCAATTATCATAAAGGGACTGGGGAAAATGCAAAATTAACAAAGCACACGGGCTCCTGAAGGCTCCAGCACCTGAACAAATTACCCAGTGGCCTCTCAAGGGAGCTTAAGAGTTGATGAAAGCATTAATTGGCCGGAGCCTGGGGGAAGCAGCCCTGTCTTCATGCTTCGCTGGTAGTGCTGCCATCAGTGGGGTTTCTCTGTCTGATTGTAAAATAAAAATGGCACCAGGACAGGCTCATATCCCCCAAAACTACCTTTGGTGACCTTGGGAGGTGCAGCTGAAGATATTGATTCGGGAGGGAGATGGGAGTGGAGCTAGTAGGGAATCAGGGAGAAATAGTCCGTAGGTGTTGTAAAGGAGAGGTTTATAGAGACCCTGCTCAGAGCTCTTTTAAAAGGAAAATGAAACGTAGCCTCTGCCCAGCTATAAATTCTCCAAACTCGTGAAGGTTTTGCAGAGAAGCGGAACCTCACAGGTATCTTTGCACTTTAAGACCTCACATATGCAATTTTAAAGTCACCCGGAACTCCTCACCAGTGCTTTCCTCTTAACAGACGCCAGGCAGTATGCGCCCAGCATAAAAGCCAGGTTCCCTGCAGACACCTACGCTCTGACCGGGCAGATGGTGACTCTGGAGTGTTTTGCCTTTGGGAAGTGAGTGCAGCACCGCGTCGCTCGGGGCGGGGAGCAAATCGCAGACCCAGCAACGGATCTGCTGAACACAGGAGGGGGAATAGCGGGAGGGATGGAGCAGCAAAGCCAATCTGTCCCGCTGGCCAAAGCCCAGCTGGGATGGGATCTGGCTGAATTGGGACTGGGTTGTGCCACCTTTGGTACCTGCTGTGTTAGAACCCATGGCTAAAAAGATTTACTTTTACACAGCCCTGTTCCTCGAATAAAGTGGAGGAAGCTAGATGGCTCGCAGACCTCCAAGTGGATCTCCAGCGAGCCCCTCCTGCACATCCAAAATGTTGACTTTGAGGATGAAGGCACTTATGAGTGCGAGGCTGAAAACATCAAAGGGAGAGACACCTACCAGGGCCGCATCATCATTCACGGTAAGGCAGTTCCACGTGTGCCTTTCCATGGTGGTGAGGTGTCCCAGACAGATATACCCCCAGTCCAACCTATTACAAAGGCAGCACAGATTGCTGATCTTTCCTTCATGGATATATTTAGGCTGTGGCAAGGACAGAGAGACCTCCTCACTTGCCCTACAATAATTCTAGCAAAAATGAGGTAACCACAAATGGGACCATAGAGATAAAAAATAAAAAAAAAAATCAGATTTGTCTCTCCATCAAATCCTCCTCCGAGCCAGGGTCCTTTCACAAGGGTTAATGCTTGGAGCTATTAATCAGATCTAGTCAAGCTGCAAACTTAGCCTGGTTCTCCCATCCTGAATTCAATCTTTTCTGAAGGTCAGATATGACTGCATTTCTTCTTAGAAACAGAAATAACAATATTCTTCTCCAGATCTGGTTTTATGCCACGATTTTGTGCAGTCCACGTGCAGAGCAGCAGTCAGAGAGGACCCAGTCCTGCATCACTGCACAAAAGGCAAAGGCTGTTACTATGGTGAAACACGCCGTGATAAATAAATCTGTCAGCAGAGATGACACAACGTGCATCCTTCTGCCTGCCTGGCACGGCAAACCTCTCATCTGATCCTCTTGGCTCTGCCACCTCTCTTGCTCCTTTGCAGCTCAGCCGGACTGGCTGGATGTGATCACAGACACGGAAGCTGACATTGGGTCTGACCTGCGCTGGAGCTGCGTGGCATCTGGCAAACCCCGGCCAGCAGTGCGGTGGCTGAGGGATGGGCAACCTCTGGCCTCCCAGGTACCACTCACCGCCTCACTGCATCCATCTCAGCCCCCGTTTATCACCCGCCTTCCTCTTCCATGTGCCCCCATGAGGCTGCAAAGCAACGTCACGGTCCTTACCTCCAGCAAGGTCCTTCTCCCGTCACTGCCATCGCAGCCATTGATTCATGCAACTGCAGGAACTCGGAGCCAGTTGTCAGGGCAGATAAGGATCACCTTGTTCCTGCCTTTGTATGAGCTGCAAGTTGCCGCTCAGGCTCTCAGCAGTTTCAGCAAACAGAGCGTAGCCATGTGGGGTGGTGGCTGGATGCAGCGGAAATGGCCTGTGCTTTCTCCCCCAGAAAACCAGGCTGGCTTTAACCTGCAAGGAAACTCATCCCTGAACAGACAAGGCTTGAGTTCCATTTCCGTTCTTCTCATCTAATGGGTTCATCCTCTTGTTTGCACAGAACCGCATCGAAGTGAGCGGTGGAGAGCTGAGATTTTCCAAGCTAGTCCTGGAGGACTCTGGCATGTATCAGTGTGTGGCTGAGAACAAGCATGGCACAGTATATGCAAGTGCTGAATTAACAGTGCAAGGTAATTTCTCATTTCCCAGCGCTCTGGGTTTCAATGGGACACTGAAGCACTTCAGATCTCTTTCCTGATATACCACGTTTGCAATCTCAGAGTAAGATAAGAGCAGACAAAACTGCTTCACTCACCATTGAAATATAGCTGCTGGTTCAGCACGACGCTCTACAAGCCTCTAAAATTTGAATCTGGTGTAAGTTCAGTAATGCTGAAAGAGCACAAGGACATCTGTTTAGCTACAGAAAGTGTACAGGACAGACAGCAGCAGCACAACTCCTTTCAGCTGCCCTCCCTCTATTTGGGAGGAAAGAAGCCCAAGAAGTGAGCTCTGCACCCAGCCAGCCAGCTCAGATATAGTGGCTGGAACTGGGCTGATGCTGTAGGGAATATCCTCTACATTTTCAAAAGCAGCTGTTCTTGTGTCTCCCAAAGACCTTGCACTTGTTAGGGTCATGTTGCCATTGCTAAGTACGACGCGTGTCACCTGGCACCTGCCTGGCAGGCGTTGGACACCCAGCAGCAGAGGAACCACTCCTGCATCCCGCTCGCCAGATATCGCCATGCTTTGTTACCAAGCCATCCAAGAAAGCAGTATCTAATGCCCCGGCACTTAAAATGCTGATACAACTTTGCTAATCCTCTTTTTTTTCCCCCCGTATAGCCTTAGCACCAGATTTTAGACTAAACCCAGTAAAACGACTGATACCTGCAGCCCGGAGTGGGAAGGTCATCATCCCATGCCAACCGAGAGCAGCACCAAAAGCCACTGTGCTCTGGACCAAAGGGACCGAACTGCTCATCAACAGCAGCAGGTAGCAGCACAGCCAGCTTTGGCCCAAAAAAAACACTGCTAAAATTGACATTTCTTCTTGCCAGAGGATGAGACTTGATGACCCACGTGTGCTGCTATGTCCCTAAACACAAACCCTTTGTTATTCCTCTAGTTTCTCCTTTGAAAAAAAAAAATCTTACATTGTATTTTGCAGTCCTGCCTTTTTTTTTTTTTTACCTTTTTCTCTAAAATCAACAAGAGCAGGAAATGGTTTGGTAGGTGCACAGAGTGAGTAGACATTTTAACCTTCGTTCTTTCTATGGTTCTTCATTTCCAGGGTGACTATTACTGCCGATGGTACCTTGATCCTCCAGAACATAAGCAAATCTGATGAGGGAAAGTATACCTGCTTTGCTGAGAATTTCATGGGCAAAGCCAACAGCACGGGGATCCTCTCTGTTCGAGGTAGAGATGTTTGGCTTGACTTGGGGTCAATCAAGGCTAAGAATGCCACGATGTGAATTGGAACATTTCTCTTCCCTGTACACCCCCAAAAAGCAATAGGGTACTCAGGGAATCAGAGGCATTTCAGCCTGTGCATCAGCAAACCTTTTGCCAGACCCACCAACATCTGCTCCATGAGAAAAGCATTTCTATTTCCTATCTACTTTAATCTCTTATCTTCATCTTACGAAAAGCCAACAGCTAAAATCCTGCTAGAGAGGGATGACGACAAGTTAGGAAGCTGTTCGTTCATTTCGCTGTGCACCAAACCTGGTCCAAAGAACCCTCCCCTCATCTTCCTCTGCAGATGCCACCAAAATCACACTGGCACCATCCAGCGCTGATATCAATGTGGGTGAAAACCTCACTCTGCAGTGCCACGCATCCCACGATCCAACCATGGACCTAACCTTCACCTGGTCCCTGGATGATTTCCCCATTGACTTGGACAAGTCGGAGGGTCACTACCGGCGAGCCAGCGCGGTGAGTACCAAAGGAAACTACATACCAACAATAAGGGCAGAAAAGCCACACCAGCCCCTTTTGTTTGCATGTTGGGTTGTGGTCAGCTGTGTTTCCCTGCTATCCTTTCTCCCTACACAGAAGGAAGCTGTCGGGGACCTTGCCATCGTCAATGCCCAGCTGAAGCACTCAGGGCGGTACACGTGCACAGCCCAAACGGTCGTGGACAGCACTTCGGAGTCGGCCACGCTGACTGTCAGAGGTAATCCCCACTGCTTATGAGCCTGAAGCACCAGCAGGCTCTTTGTGAGGGCTCAGCCCTTTCTGTGCAAACACCCCACAATCTCACATTTCCATTTGGCTGGGAGTTGTGAACGCTAGGAGAAGAAAAATGTGAGGTGAGGCTTCCTTGCCTCCAGAAAAGAAAGGTTTGATCTTCATTTATGACTTGCAGGACACAAAGAGCAGTAAACCCCCAAATCCTTGACACTTTAGTAATGCGCCCACCTCTCTTCTTCACCCCAGGGCCCCCTGGACCTCCTGGGGGTGTGGTGGTGAGAGACATTGGTGACACCAGTGTCCAACTGAGCTGGAGCCGTGGCTTTGACAACCACAGCCCCATCGCCAGGTACAGCATCGAGGCCAGGACGCTGCTCTCCAACAAATGGAAGCAGATGCGCACCAGTAAGTGCCCTCAGGGCTGTGGTGTGGTCCCTGAAGTCCCAGCTTGGGCTCACCAGCTCCCTGCTGAGCTCTTGCTCTGTGCTCGCAGGCTGTCCCCCATTTGCTCTATTTGTTCTCCTCTCGTGTTATTGGATTATATAGATCCTGTAAACATCGAAGGCAATGCCGAGACAGCCCAGGTGGTGAACCTCATCCCTTGGATGGATTACGAGTTTCGGGTCTTAGCGAGTAACATCCTTGGAGTTGGGGAGCCAAGTTTACCCTCCAGCAAAATCCGTACCAAAGAAGCAGGTACGTGCAGACATGCTCAGAGGTGGAATCAGAGGCACCTACATGCAGAAAGAGAAGGCTGGCTTGCAGCAAGCCCTGGCCTGGGCAATTAGTCTTCTCCTTGAGTGCTCCTAGAGGTGAACCCATTGCAAATTTTTCTGCCTTTTTGCCCATTTACACATCAAAGACAAAGAATTACCAGAACTGGCAGCCAGCCTCACCAGCATGAGTAACAATATATTAAAGCACTACAAATCCTAGTTTCAAATACGATATGTTCTGGGTAGTAATGCTTAGAAAGGTGAAAGAGCCCTATTATATTAGAGAGCACAACTGTGCAAACACAAGATAAATTTCCCAGCTGTAAATGTTGATTCTATCTCGTGTAGCTCGAACACGCAAGCAGAAGGGATGTAGGATCAGCAGGAGAAACACTCTCAACGCACCAAGTGCATATTAACTCCTTTCTAATTTAAGCTCTCCCACAAATTCCTGCTTTTGAGATTGATTCTCATCCCTTCAGAGAAATGCTGCTGCTAAATAAGCATGTCAGGGAGTAGCCAGTGTTCAAGACCTGATTTTCACAAATATCTGGAATACTTCTGGCTGAGAGGCAGCTGCCTGTGCCTGTCTTTGTGCTCATCCTCACCACTGCTGTTCCTTTAACCCAACCTGCACTGTCTGCAGCACCCACAGTGGCACCATCTGGGCTCGGCGGTGGCGGTGGGGCTCCCAATGAACTCATCATCAACTGGACGGTGAGTCAGTGGCACAACACTGGCAGGAGGGCTGCGGGAGGGCAGGGGACAGCACATCAGTGCTGTAATGCAATTGTGATCTGCAATGGAGCCAAACACTGCTTAGCAGCGGTCCCAAAGTCTTGCTCTCTTGAACAGAAGGGCTTAGGTTGGAAGGGACCTTAAATATCACCTCCCTGCCACAGTGGCATCTGAACAGCCACAGGAGCAATTTCGCTCACAGCAGACAAGGAAATCATAGAATTTTTCAGGTTGGAAAGGTCACTAAGGTCATCATTTCCAACCATCAACCCGTTGCCACCGTGCCACTAAACCACACCACTCAATGTGACCCTTCTGTTGAAAACCCCATCCAGAAATGCCCTACCCAAGGCTTTTTCCTCACAGCCAACACTGCGGGACTACCAGAACGGTGATGGCTTTGGCTATATCCTGTCGTTTCGTAAGAAGGGCACTCAGGAATGGCTCACTGCCCGCGTGCCTCACGCAGAATCCCTGCACTACGTGTACCGCAACGAGAGCATCGGGCCCTACACCCCCTTCGAAGTGAAGATCAAAGCATACAACAGGAAAGGAGAGGGACCAGAAAGCCTCACAGCCATCGTGTACTCTGCAGAAGAAGGTGAAGGGGACTGCAGGGGTTCTTGCTGCCTGGCGGCTTGCTGATAGGAGAGGTTTCTTTCATTCTAAAGGCAGCTGATAGTGATTTGAGCATAGGATTTATCTTCTACTTCAGTACACAGATAGAGGCTTCCCTAAGCACAGAGCAGACAGATCCTCACAGCATGCAGCTGTTGGTCTCCTTGACCTGCTAAGTCCCTCAATCCCTTCCCCTTTCTTTGCTCTGTATACACAATACCAGCTGTCGGGCTGCATGGTTACGGTGCTGAGGCGAGCCCCTCCTTTCAGTACAGTGAATGCACTGCCCTGAGCTTGGAAAAGCATTTTATCCCTTTTTCTTGTCTTTTTCAGAACCAAAAGTGGCTCCATTCAGAGTTACAGCCAAAGCTGTTCTGTCCTCAGAAATGGATGTGTCCTGGGAGCCAGTGGAGCAGGGAGACATGACTGGCGTGCTGCTGGGCTACGAGGTATGAGTCCATCATGGGAACAAGGGATGGCAGAATCACTCGAGCTGTAAAAAACCTCCAAGATCACCAAGTCCAACCACCAACCCATCCTCACCTTGCTCACCAACCCGGGTCCCAAGTGCCAGGGGCATCCAGCACTGTTCTTGAATGGAAATTTGCAGACGCTTCTTTCCTTACTGAACCCTTTTCTATTCAGATCCGGTACTGGAAGGATGGCGATAAAGAGGAGGCAGCTGACAGAGTGAGAACAGCAGGGTTGGTCACATCGGCTCACGTCACAGGCCTAAATCCCAACACGAAATACCACGTCTCAGTGCGAGCCTACAACCGTGCTGGAGTTGGGCCCCCCAGCCCCTCCACCAACATCACAACCATAAAGCCACGTGAGTGAGCTCTGACCACCTCCATTACACGGTGCTGCCTCCTGTGCATCCCTAGAGAGCAGCTGGCCAATCAGCTTGCACCTCTCAGCGCCCTAAAACCATCCCAAATAGTCAATAAAACAGCTCCCTGCATTTCCTAGGATCAGCCCTGCTTACCATAGAATCATACAATCATAGAATTGTAAAGGTTGGAAAAGACCTCGACGATCTCCAAGCCCAACCATCAACCCATCCCCACTGTGCCCACTAACCACATCCCCAAGTGCCACATCTACACTTCATGAAGAAATACTCTGAGCCTTGAAGGGGGAATGTCATTTGTTAGAAATAGCACCAGGGGAAAATAGTTTTTCTCCTCTCCTTCAAAAATGTTGTAATGCTCTCTGGGATGCCTTTCATTAAACCAACGAGGTGGTCCCACAGCTCTATTCATGAATCAGAGAGGTTGAAGAGATGGGTGCAACCAGCACAGCCCCTGCATCAGCCCCTGGCTCGCTCAATCTCTGTCTCCTTTTTTATCTCTTAGCACCAAGGAGGCCACCAGGCAACATCTCCTGGACTCTGACTGGGTCTACAGTCACCATCAAGTGGGACCCAGTGGTGGCACAGGCAGATGAGTCTGCAGTTACAGGGTACAAGGTACAGGCAAACATGTAGAGACCCTTCTGTTACACTAAGGAAACAACAGGGAACGTAAACTCAAACCTTGCTTCTTCCAACAGATGCTTTACAGGCAGGATTCCCACTCTGCTCCCACGCTGTACCTGGCGAGCAAGAGTCGGATTGACATCCCAGTGCCTGAGGACTTCACTCATGCCTTCGTACAGATCCGGGTGACAGGGCCTGGGGGGGATGGGATCCCAGCAGAAGTCCACATCCTCCGAAACAGTGGTATGTCTGTATGTGTACCCCGGGTACAAACGCTCATCTTCAGGGTTCTTCCCAGGACACTGCAAAACGATATATCCATTTCCAGGAATACTTGCTGTCATGTTCTTTGACTTGGTCACCAAACTCTCCCCAGCCCCTTTTAGAAACTGTTCAGCCTAGAGCAAACCCAGCTTTATCACCTGAAGCTGAAACCCTTTGTCCCCCGACTCCCATGCAAATTAGATTCACTGTGTGACATCCTGACTGCATTTAGAGCCCCCAATCTGAGCCCACCCCCAATTCCTTGATTCAGTGCGTAAATGCTCACATCCCACCTCCAAACTCTTGTTTCAAACGCAACCATTTGTGGGAGGTTCACCTGTGCCGTGCACAGCAGGAGCACACAGAACCCCACAGCCAACATTGCACCAATGTCATCTCTGCAAGAAACCTCTGTGCCCATGCAGCACCACAGCTGTCCCTTCCTTGCTCCCTTTCTTCCAGGGACCAGTATGATGGTGGAAGACTCCGTGACGAGGCCAATGCCACACGCTGCCATCATCACCACCAACTCCCTGGCCATGGTGGCCCTGATCCGCTACCTGGAGCTCTGATAGGGCCAACAAAACTGGGATGTGGGACATCCCTCCTCCCAGGGCAGCAGGAACTGCTCAATGTCTGGTGCTGCACCTCCATGTTTGGACCGCAGCAGTGTTACAGAGAGGGATTTGCTAACATTACCTGAAGGGAGGAAGAAAGCTTTTTGTTGTTGTTCCTTTGGAAGAGTATGAGATTTCATACAAGACATGGGTCTGCAAGCAATCGACGTTTTTTTTTTAAGAAGTGAGTAAAACAAAGAAGAATTCTACCCAAATTCTGACAGACGACTGCCCTGTACACCGCATTGAGAAGGTTTTCTGCCTTACAAAGCCATGTACTACAATAACCAGACTGCTAAACTTGACTTTTTTAAAAATATGTACAGTGTATTTGGGGGAGGGGGAAGGGAAACTGGGGACTGAGGACTTCCAAGTGATGGGCATGCTCCACACCAACCCCAACCACAGCCATCTCTATGGAGCGATGGGACACGATTCACTTCCCCATAATAAGAGCCAAATTCCACAGCAATGAGCCCAAGGAGACAAAGCCACAAGAGACACCACTCTCTGCTTCATCCTGAAGGAGATGGGTGAACACAAGAGTTTAGCTTGTGAACATCATCTTTTTTTTTTTTTTTTTTTTATGACACTGGTGTTAACTCGCAGCCTCGTGTTTGTAAGAGCTGCCATGCTATGAGGTGCAATGTTTGATGTGATCCATATCCCACCTGGTCCGCGGTGTTCTTGTTATGTTGTTTGCTTCTTTTTGTCTGGGGAGGGGTAAGTGAAAATCCACCTGTTTGGAGAGAGAGCCTCCTGATGCAGAAGACTTGGAGATATTTCATTTCAAGACGGAGAGGACCTGAAGGAAAGGAGAGAAAGGAACACAACACAAATTTTAACCAAGACCTGGAGACTTCACAAAGCTGAGGCAACAAGGAGGATCTGGAATGGGGCGTTCATCCTCAGTCCCAGATTTGGGGACGTATGATGGATCCTCAGTGTGCTTGGCTCACATAGCCAAAATGTGTAGATCTGACACCCCAATGTGGGGATGTCCAGCTGCCCCACTGATTGAAATGGTTGGGAAGAGCTGCCACCTATTAAAAGTTCTGCATCTCCCAGTAAAAGCGATCAAATGATTCACCTTCCTTGCTGGTGCAACGGGAAGGGACTGGCACGCAGCTCCTACACTAGATGCCAATTCCTTACCCCAGCTAATCATTTTAAAACTAACATGTCCTTGGCCTTAGTGAGCATTAAAGAGATTACATGCATAAATCCCTGCCCTCCCGGGGGAGTGAGGCCTGCTGCACATCCACAGCTTCCCATTACCAGTTTGTCGCATCTGGAAGCAAGAAGGTAACGGGTCCCACGGTGCTTAGGGAGCAGGAGAAATGCTTGAGGGAACGGGCAGGGGAAAATAAATATAACGAAATTAAAAACATTCAAAAAGCAGCTAAAGCAAAAAAAAAAAGAAAGGGCTCTTCATTTTCCCTTGAATAAAGTAAAAAACTAAAAACTAAAAAGCAATGCATGATCCCATTGGTGCGTGGCAGGCAGTGATGGAGGGACCCCCCCCTCACTCTGCAGCTCTCCATGGATTAACCCTCCATCCCAGCAGTTCCTTCAGGAGGACAACAACATCTAAATATAAATTCCTATTTTTATACGAGATAAGTTCTTGAAGACTTTTAAATATTTCTATTCAGGTTTGGAACCCTTTTTTTTTTTTTTCTTTTTTTTCTTTTTTTTTGGCAAAACGTTTTCTCTTGTTACATCAGTGTTTTTGTCACCACCTCCATCCACCTCGCTGGGCCTTGGGAGAAACCATGGAAGGATGAAAGGTGAACGAGGAATTCAGAGTTAGCTCAAAACAAAGAAGACCAGGGCTTGGGCACGGGCAGTCTGATCGATGCAGAGTGGAGGAGGCAAAACGTGGCTGCACTTACTGAGTTTGGAAGCACTGACGAACCACTCCCTGCAGCTCTGCAGAGTCTGGGAGAGGAGCAAACGGGAGAAGGATGACATGAAGTGCCCAAAAAGGACCATCGGACTGAGGTGCAGCAGCTGGAGGAGCCCAGGTTGGGTCCTGCTGTGCTCTGCAGCGTGGGACGGAGCTGAAACTCTCATTCTGAAGCCTGAGCAACATGGGGAGAAAAGCAGAGCAGTGGGGTGCAGGCTTGGCTGTGACCCCGAGGTCCATCCCAGCATTGGGCACAGATGTTACGTGAGACCCCAACCAGCAGAGCTGGAGCTCTGTGCCTCCAAGAGGTGCGTGCACAGCTGCAGAGCAAACAAATGCGCTTGGTTAGACCGACTGCGTGCTGGATGAACTCTGACAAGTGAGCAAAGCAAAGCAAAGCAAAGCCCCACTGCCACATGCAGGGGCTGAGGCTCTGCACCAGCCTGTCCCCGACACAAACAGCCTCAGCAGATGCTTCCAGATGTGTCCAGCAACAACAGTGGCTGTGAACACTTGACTTAACTTCACAGGATGGTGATTTCTAGCACAGTGAAAACAGCATTTAAATGCTGCAGTGCCACTGGGTGCTAAATAGCTGCCACCTGCAGCATTCCCTGGGAAGGTTTGTACATTCTCCATGTATTTATGGGTTGAAGTAGATCACAGGCACAGTTTATAGCAGTGAAAAACTTCATGGTTGGATTTCAAATGTTCTGGCTGGCACTGCTCTGCATTGCAAACGGCCTGAATATATTCTGCTATGTAAAATTCATGGGACAGTATTTCCTAAAGCCCTTAAGTGACAAGTAGGTCCCCTTGATAGCTAAATGTTCGCTATTTGAATTCAAGTTATGCCTCATTTTTGAAAAGATAAATCATGAAGACACACACAGCTTCATCAGGATGCATTTAACCAAAACGCTGCTTTGTTTTTGCAACGTTTTAAGGACTACACATAGAAGCAAAGAAGCGTGACCTAGAGATGGCCATAGCCAGAACCCCAGATGCGACACAGGTTCCAGACCCCAGCAATCACTCTGGTTTCCCCTCCTGGGAAGTGAAACAAGTGGTGCCTTTGCATGTTCCAGGCAGTCTGCAACATCTGTGCACTCACACCGCTGCCATGAAGGGCCTTGGGGTTGATTCAGAGCAGCACAGCTTTCAGCAAAGCTGGGAGCCCAATGCCCCCAGCCCTGTGCCATCACCCAGCACTGCTCACGTGGCACCAGTGCTCCCCAAAGCACTATCACAAAGAAGCTCTGAAAAGTGCATGCAGTCAGTGATGTGCCCACCAGGCACTGGGGTGACCTGGGGCAAAGATAGGGGCACACTGTAAGGCATTGCAGCACACACAGGGATGCAGGCTGGATGTAGGGCAGGGTGAGCAGTGAGGGTTCCCCACCTGCAGCACCCACAGACCTTCCCTAGGGCAGCCCATTTTCCCCTTGCATTTCTCAGGGGGCTTTGTGACACACACACACAGTGATGTGCACACACACCTATTCCTTTAGCAAGGTGCACTCGAGGCAGTGGTGGTACCCAATTAAATTCTATCCAGGCTGTAAAATAAACCTACATGTAAAGCCCAAGCAAAGCCCTCAGCAGGAGGGAAAGATGTGGGAGAAACCTCCTGTGAGGGCACTCAGAGCTTCTGAAGTGCAGCACAGGGCCTAAAGGGTGTTGTGAGCTGGGGGAGAACACAGAAGATTTCAGCATCTTAACACGAGGTCACTGGATTTGCACTGTTGCATTAAGCTGCAAATCAATTTCCTGTCTCATTAACAATCCCTCACGTGTAATTGCTGTGAGCATTTACTTTAGGAATTGACTTACAGGGACGAGTTAAGCGCCTGGGTTTTGTTCTTGTGCTGTAATGGCTCAGTGAGGGAAGTCATCCAATTTCACAGGGTCCTTCTTACTTCTTAGCAGTGCCACCGATGCCACGAGGATGCTGGAAGGGATAAGCAATGAGGGCGAAATGCTTTGGGACTCCCAGATGAACAGCTCTGATATATTCACATCTAACATGCAATAAATAGCCTACCTGGTCATACTGAAGTTACAGATGGAACGTTGCATTTCTGATTTTAGGAGGTCTGGACCAAACTCAGCACTCAGCCAAGTGGGTTTGGATGAGGAATGGCTCAGTTGCAGCAGCAATGATTCAACACTGATCCCAAATGGGAGACGTTCCCATCCTTCACCCCAAGAAGGAGCTGAGTAACGAATCCCATTCATAACGGGATAAGGAATGGGATGGCATCCCATCCATAAAGCCTGGAGCCCTGAATCCTGCCTGCTCCAAACCTACAGAGCTCTTCCCCACCACCCCAACCATCAGCTGGGAATATTTTCACCCAGCCTCACTGTACCCAGGCAGTTTCCTCCTCAATAACTTACTTGTGGACTATTTTTTTAAGGAAAAACAAATGGGGAGCACTGTAAGCATACTGTATTTACTGTAATTATGGTTATTTATTGGCTACAGTAGCACGCAGTTCTTAAATAAAGATCTTTAGAGACATCAGACAACTGCTGGAGCCTGGAATGCTTCTGGAAGGGCAACGAGCACTGGGAGCACTCAGGATCCCCCCAGCCCTGCACTGCCAATGGCACCCACAGACAGAACACCCCAGCAGAACTCAGCAGAAGTTAATTAGGACACAGTAAACTCTGATTCTATCCCACAGACAGCGATATCTGATGGGAAGCTGAGAGGCTGCCCTCAGGGCAAGCAATTGCAGGTACTGGGGGTCTGCTTAGATCTGTTAATTTACTGTGCTTTTCCTGGCTGGTGTTCTGATGATAAGCAAGTAATGCTAGAAAACTCAAGTCAGAAATTTCACGTGGCTCATTAGCAAAAAGGGTAATTGATTTTTAGGATAGCTTGCCAAAAAACCTTCATCATCCATCGCAGCATTTAAACCCTGACTGGAGTTCTTCCAGGAAGGATATCCCTGAGACCAGCCACGAGCCAGCAGGCTCGTGAAGGTTCACTTCCATTACAGAAAATAATTTCCACCGTGGCAGGAAGCACGGCATGAAATCACCTGCTCTGCGCTCTGTTGGATTAATCCATCTCCCTCCTTCCTTCTGGCCTTAAATAAAACCTGCTCGCATTCCCTCCACCTGCAGGATGGACTCCAAAGGATGGAGCAGCGGTGTGTGGCACAGCTCTGTGGTTGTGTTGGAATCAGAGTGGGCAGTGAGATGGGAGCTGAGCAGCAGTGGGCATAGGAAACATCACCCGGACCTTCCTGCTGCACTCACTCACATTCAGTGTGCTTAAGCACTTCTGTTCCCACCAAGCTAAACCCTATAACAGCTCACAAAAAGAACGT